TTTGGTCATATGCTAACCTCGTGAGTGGTTTATTTTCAGCCGGAAGCGTCAGGCGGAAGTGCTTGCCCTGGCGCCACTTAAGGCGCTCAAGGTGAGCGCCAGCGCCACCGCCCGATGGGTGGTGCACGCGCAGGCCGCCTTGCAGCGTGGCGCGGCGTCGGCCAGGGCCACCGAGGTGGCCGCGAAGCAGGCGGGGGATGAGGCGCCTACGCCCCTTGAGCCCATGGCCCTCGAGGAAGGTGAGGCCGAGGCACCTACAATCGCCGATGCCACCGAGGGCGAGGCCGGCCCCCCCAGGACCTCCGAGGCCGAGGTGGCGGAGAACGGGGTTTCTAGGACCATTGAGGCCGAGGTGGCGGAGGCCGGTGCTTCTAGGACCACCGAGGCTGAGGTGGCGGAGGTCAGCTTAGGCGCGGCGGAGCCGTCGGCCCAGGATGCAGAGATAGAGGTGGGGCAAGCTCTGGTGCGGCCCCCGGTCCAAGACCCACCGCCGTCGCAGGAGAGCGCCCGGGAGGTGGAGGTTTGGACAATCTCCTTCGACGATACCTCCTGGGGGATGGAGGTGGCGGACGCTGAGGCGGCCAGCACCGCAGAGCAGTCAGCCCTGACTCCAGGCGAGGGGGGCTCGACACTTGTCTGGGTCTGACCCGAGCCCCGTGGGTGGGATAGCCCGCGTGTCTTATGGTGGAGCCAGGACGATCGTGAGGGGGAGCCTCTGTCCGCCCTTGAGGACGTGGATGAGGGGGCACTGGGGCTCCTTTGAGCGATTCCACCTGCTGGCCGAGCGATCGCTGCGGACGGCGCTGTCCGTCGTGGTCGAGGACCTGCCCGGTGTTGCCTGGGTACGTGCTTTCCTTTCTTGCGCCGCGTTGTCCTTCCTCCGAGCCCTCTCGAAGTTCTTTGACGTATGTTCTGCTTATCCAGGAGCTCGAAGCCCGGTCCCTCGAGAAATTGATGTTCCTCCGGTGGGAGAGGGACGTCTAGGACCAGCTCCGGCAGCAGAAGGAGCTGCTTGCCAATGCTAATGGGCTTCTGTCGGCATGGAGCGCGGAGGTGGAGGACCTCCGCCTTCGCTGTGCTGACATGAAGGTCGAAGCGGCCACGGCTCAGGAGCAGGCCGCCCCTCTGGCAGCGCGGGTCCAAGAGCTGGGGGAGGAGCTGACTGGGTGGCCGGCGAGCGGGACACCTCCAAGTCCCGGGCCGAGCAGGAGGCAGCCTCTGCCAAGGTCGTCGCCGAACAGCTGGAGGTGGAGAAGGGCACGCACCTGCTGACGAAGGGCGCGCTGGCGGAGGCTGTAAAGGTGGTCGAGACCTCTCGGGTTGAGGCCTTAGCCTAGAAGGAAAAGGCCGAGGGTGAGTCCTGTTGAGCCGCGCCCCCTGTTTGATCTATCTCTTTCGCGTTCGACCCCTGACACCCCAATGTGACATAGAGCTGGAGCGAGAGGCTTCCAGGGCGGCCGAGGCCACTCGGGTCGAGGTTCAAAGCTGGAAGGAGAAAGCCAAGGGTGAGTCTCATAGGCCTGCACCCTTGCTCGGTTTATTTCCTTTCGCGCTTAACCCCCAACCCGCTTATCTTGGCGCAGGGCTGGAGAAGGAGGCCTCCTAGGTAGCCGAGGCCTCCGTCGTAGTGCAGGCGGTGCTCGAGGCCGAGATCCAGGAGCACAATGTGCTGCAGAGCGCCGCCCGTACCACCTGCGAGGCCCTGGAGGTCGGGGGGTTGAGTCAGGCAGCTCCCTTGGGAGCCGCTTGATCGCATTGAGCGGCCGCGTCCATGAGCGGCTCCAGGGGGGCGCTGCACACGGGCGTTAAGCGCGCCCTGGCCGTCGTCTCCTCGCACTATGCTGGCATCGACCTCGAGGCCATCAGCGATGGTTACGTCATGGCCGAGGACGATGAGAAGGCCGAGGAGGAGGTGATGAAGCTGGTGGAGGCGGCTGAGGTCCCTGGCACGGCGCTGGCCCGGTTGTTCGAAGAGGAGGTGGTTCCGCCTACGCCGCCCATCGACGCTGGCGACCCTGTATTCTGATCTGGGCCAAGGGGGTCATGCAATAGATTATGACTTACATCATTGTACCATAACACTCGTGGTCGTCGAGGCCTTTTCAGTACTTGTGTATATATGTTTTTTAATCGTTTTCTATTATATTTCCGAGCCTTCGCCCTCTGTTTTGTCTCTAGACAAGTCATTTGCAAAAACTTCCTCGGAGCCTAAGCTACCCCTCGGGATGTTGAGGCCACTGCCTCCGTCCATCAACACCTTGGTGAGCCGGGTGTTGCCAATGATCGGGTCGACGATGAGTGGGTACTGCCCGAGGTTTGGAACATAATCGGGGTGGTCACCCCGATCGAAGTTGATCGCCTCCCGAGACCAGTCGAGGTACTGGGGAGTGGCCACCTCAACCGAGAAGACCTCCTGGCGTTCCCTCTTCCGCTGACGCGCCGTGAGGCACGCTGAAGGCCCGCTGAAGATCATGAAGGCATTGTGCACCTCGGGGAACCCGTCGTCCTTGTCATTGTCTCCATCGCCGGCACCCTTGTTCTTGGCATCGTCGTTGGGGAGCCCGAGCTTGGCGTAGTAACGCCGGAGCATGGTGCACTCTTCGAGGGTGTGTTTCACCGGGCCCTGGTGGTAAGGGCATGGCTTCTTAAGCATGTCGTCAAAGAGCCCGGGGCCCCTAGCGGGGCCTCGGGGATTCTTGCGATCCGCGGCTGCGATGAGATCAGCCTCGAAGGCCTCTTGCTTCCCCTGGCGACCCTTTTTCTTCTTCTTGGAGAGACGGGGGGCTGAGGCCCCGGGGGCCTCATCCTCCGCTTCCTCTTGGCGTCGTTGTCGAGGAAGATGGCTCCGACAGCCTCTTCGCCCAAGGCAAAGTTGGTGGCGATGTCGAGCAGCGCGGCCGCCGAGGTCGGTACGTTCCGGCCTAATTCTCGGACCAGGTCTCGGCAGGAGGTGCCGGAGAGGAACGCCTGGACAATTTCTGAGTCGCCGACGCTGGGCAACTCGGTGCATTGCTTGGAGAAGCGTCGGATGAAGTCTCGGAGAGACTTGTCCGGCCTCTGGCGACAACTCTTGAGGTCCCAGGAGTTCCCAGGGTGCACGTATGTGCCCTGGAAATTCCCAACGAAGACCTTTACTAGGTCGCGCCAGCTATTGATCTACAAGGGAGGAAGGTGTTCAAGCCAAGCTCGCGCTGAGTCTGACAGGAACAGGGGGAGGTTGCGGATGATGAGCAGGTCATCGTCTGCGCCGCCTAGAGGTTGGCCAGTTGTCGAAACCGGGCTGGGAAGTGGGCGCTACGGATGGCCTTGCTGAAGACTCGAGGGCCAGGTGGCCCGGGAGAAGGACTGCGGTCCTCCCCACTGTCGTAGCGACCGCCTCAGTGCGGGTGGTAGCCTCGGGCGGGCCCATCGTTGTCGTGGCGCCGTCGCCCGCTAACCACATCGTGGTCGCCTTGCGCCTCGCGTCTGTCGCTGAGGCGGTCGTGCACTGAGGGGGGCCTTGTTAGCTTTCGGTGCCCTAGCAAGCTCGGGATGGACCGAGGCCTCTCTATCTTGCCGAGGTGGCGTCGTGGGCCGTCGCGAGGCATCCCCGCGCCGTCGAGACGCGGAGCTATCATCCTGTTGTACCGCGGTGGTCTCGAGAAGGTCTCGGAGTCCGCCGTGGACTCGTCGCCCCTCCGAGGTAGATGGCTCGGGCATTGTTCGGAGTAGCATCATCGCTGCCACGATGTTCTGGCTAGCGCGACTGAAGATATGGGGTTGCTCGCCCCCTTCGTCGTTGTTGATGCGGTGGCTGACGTCGCGAGCCCTTCGCCAGGCTGCTCCGCCATCACCGCGACCCCGCTGCTCTCGCTCGAGAGTGTCTCGAAGCTGCTGCAGAAGGAGTCGGTCTTGTTCGACCTTGGCCTAAAGCTCACGGAGTTGCTCCAGGTCTAGGCGTCGAAGTTCCTTGGGGGCGGGGACATCGTCCCGCGCTGGCGGGGGCTCGGCGCGTGGCGGTGTGGCGTTGCCTGCCACCACATGGGACGGGAAGCGATTGCCTGCCCCTTCGTCCTCGTCGCCCGCGTTCGGCATCCCGAGTTCGACGTTGAAGCACTCATGAGTCGGGTCGTAAGCATCTTCGTCATCGGAGTCGGAGTAGCCGAAGCAGTAGTCGCTCGCGACCATGAAGCGGCGCATAGCTTCAGGGTCACGAAGCCCGGAGAAGTCGCTAAGAAATTTTTTCGGTCTTTGCTTAGGGTACCCCTTCTATGGTGCCCGACACCGGGCAAACAGTATTTTGCAGGTACCGACATCAACCCTTCCTGAAGAAGACAACGTAACCTCCCACGTGCACCTGACATTCTACAGTAACATCAACGGTGTTGTGGGCGCCTACCATTATCCTATCCTCATCGGCGTGGGCAACAAGGCTCAAAAGCATCTGTACCCTCTCCTTCTCCCCTGTAAAGCCATCCCCTTCATCTATAAAAGGGGATGGACTCCCTCCAACAGGAGGAGGGCCGATTCATTCAAGCTCAGTTCCTTTAGATTCATTAGTCCAATAGCTCACAACCACAGAACTGCCAGGTTCGGACCTCAAGCATATGCTTGAACACTTAGCTCATAGCTTAATTCCAATCGCTCTCGGCCCTTCCGGTCGGAGCCGACCGGGCCTCTTATACACCACATCTTTCTCCCTCTCGTTTGTAACCCCACTACAGACTTTGAGCACCTGGGCTCAGGAATAAAGTCACCGACCGACCCCGACTGGACGTAGGGCTCGTTGCCCGAACCAGTATAAACCCTGTGTCATTGAGTGTTATGCCACCTCCGATCACAACGTACAGCAAAACTACAAATATTCACTAATTGGTAACTTTCTATACCGACAATACATGTAACAAAAAATCCTACTAGCAACCCAAGCTAGTGCTAAACCTACCAAACCTGACAAACATTCCTGAGTTAGGAAAAGAAACATTCTAGAAACATATATCCACAAATTTCATGTCAAACCGTCAATTATCACCTGTTCCAGCACCTATCTCAATGGCAGTAACACTATCAAAGTTGGACGATGAAAATCTTTTATGCAAAACAAAGTCAGCTAATAGTAATGCCGCTTTCCAAACCTGCGCACCAGTAACAACAACGAATCATACACGTACATGACAGAAAAGCACCATCGATCTTTTTTCCAACCTGAAGCCCAACGCTCTTAAGCGAGCTGGTAACACCATGCTGAATGGTGAGCAGATGGCAGTCACTTCTAACTGCAAGCCAAGAAAGCTTAAATGAGAAGCTCGCCAATCACAACACCACGATACGTAGCAACCAGCAATTGATGTACCATATTTGCTTCTTCTTCTCCGGTCCAGAACGAGATCCCCATCCTCATCCACGGCGACTGCGTCAGGCGAATCACCTCCTCAACAGAGTAAAACATGTTACCCCAACGAACAATTGAACACATACCCACCAAACTAACCTCTACGACAACACGAACTAACGCAAAGACACATCCGCTGGTCCACAGTCCCATTCACTTACAAGAACCGCTCGTTGCTGCGGCTAACTCGCTCCCACCGCCACCAACACCATCGTTGTCCCCAGATGGCCCTGAAAACACTGAATCAAAGTTCAGGAGAGTACAAATCATGCCGTGTCCCGACAATGTCTCCTCCGTTAGCACTAAGAGGCAGTGCAAGGAAGGTGTATGACGAAAAGCGCGCAAAAGAGCTCGTGGCGTGACCTGCTGGTACCTATTGGCCGTGAGGAGAAGCTGAAGCGGGAGATGTGGAGGCCGGAGAAGTGCGGCGAGTAGCCCAGGTGCACCTCGCTCATCACCTGCTCCTCCTCGGCTCCGCCACCTCCGGCTTCCATCGTGGTCGGCGCTCGGCGGTCGGCCCTCCGTTAGAGAGAAGCCGAGGAGTGATGCAGGCGGCCTCAAAAGTTGGGCCATACAAGTATGGGCCATGTTTCTTCATGGGCCCAGCTGTGGGCTTTCCCTCTCTGCGCTGGTTTGTGTTAGGTGGACCGGTCATCCATCGCTTGATCGTCCGCCGTCGCATTTGTGCGCGAACTATTCGACGAAATATCGTTCTGGATTGAATGGTTCAAGCAGACGCTAGATCATCCGTGCTCTTGGTTTAGTTACGGTTTTCAAAGCCGGTTTTATTTTTTTATTTTTTATTTATTTTGGCTAAATCTTTGAAAAATAATAGTAAATCACAGAAAATTTATAAAATGGAAAATTCAATTTTGTTGGACTCCACATGAGTAGATCTACACAGTGAACATATAATATGGTATGCTTTAGTATATATTTTGTTGTAACTTTAGATCTATAATTTTTTGTAATTAATTCATAGCTGCAGTTTCTATGGTCCAATTGTGGTGAAATGTTTATAGTGGCCTAACTATTGTATACTTGAACTGTAGTAAAAATTTCATACCCATTGAATCATATATAACTTAGTTATAGATTTACTTAACAAGCAGACACCTAAATAAATCAATAAATAAGTTATACATGATTCAATGAGTATGAAATTTTTACTCCAGTTCAAGCATATAATAATTAGTTCATCATAAAAATTTCACCACAATTGAGCCATAAAAACTGCATCTATGAATTAATTACAGAAAAACATAGATCTAATACCACAACAAAAAAATATACTAAAGCATACCATATTATATGTTCACTGTGTAGATCTACTCATGTGGAATCCAACAAAATTAGATTTTCTATTTTGTGATTTTTATGTGATTTACTATGATTTTTCAAAGATTCAGCCGAAATAAATAAATAAGACAAAACCACCATTGAAAACTGTAAAACGAACGGTTTTAAAAGTTTAAGGAGATGTTTTACCCGGTTTTGGAGTTCAGAGAGAGAAAACAGACTTTTACAAAAGTTAAGAGAGGTAGTGTGGACTTTTCCCATGTTAAAACTGTGAAACCGCACCTCCAATGCGCAATGTTTGAAGACCTACTCTTCGAGTAGGTCAGCTTAATAAGACCCATTAAGTCAATTCAAGTAAGCACATATAACAAAAATATTAATTTAGAATAAAATTAAATGTTCTAGGATAATGTTCAGGAACAATGTTAAATCAAATGTTCCAAATATTTATTTTATTCCAAAAATTATACATATAAAAACATCTAAAATTCAATATTCTATGAAAAATAAAAAAGAAAAAGGGAAGCAAGGCGGTGTGAGGCTGGAGGTGGAGTCAGCGGCGGGAGGCCAGTAGGGAGGAGGCAGTGGCGGTGCCTAGGATTGACAAGGAGGAAGATAAAACTCAGGTTGTTGGATGAGGACGTGCGCACGAATCTTGTTGAAATCGTCCACTCTACAACGATGTATAGGAATCCAGCAGTGTTTTCGGATGAAGGTTGAACAAGTGGGAGCCCCCTATATAGAGACTGGCCGAGCAGAATCACCCCGCTCTAGCAGTCCTCCTGCTGCCTCCGTCTCTCCCGACTCCGTCGTCGCCGCTCGCGACCCTGCTGCCCTTCTCCGGCTCAGCTCTCTCGCCCCACCCTCCTTCATTTCTGGCGGCTACTATAACACCCTCGGTGTTACGTCCTAAACAAACTACTAAATCATATCATGAGCATCATGTTTATATGATAATGTATGTGATGGAATATGTAGATAACATTTTTGTAACTTCAGATGATCAATAAAAATGTTAAATGATAAGTTATTCCATAACTTATGTGTATCAATTAGGGTTTAAAACTAATTTTTATTGAACAAAAATGTTATAGAACATATATGTGGCGCTAAATAAAGTTTGGAATATGAACTTTGTAGATGACAATGAAATACTTGCCGTGGAAAAAAACAGTGCTAGCCAACATTTCTAATAGCCTAGAAATGCAATTTGGAATCAAGTTCAGCTCAAAAATTTGAAATATTTTCAAGTTTGTTGGCAGCTAGACAATGCGATCTTTGCTGATTTATTTTATGAAATCGAGTTAGGAAGTGGTGTCGTGTTTTAGCTTGGGTTGGTAGCCTCATATCCCCTCTGAAGCATGGTGAAGATGGTTTAGGTTCTGGAGCAACTGTTTAGTTTTTATAGGCGCTTTTAAAATTCATGCAAGATGTGATTTCGGGCTAGTTCACCGGGTGAGCGCGGTCACCACATCTTGGGGGCGCGACGTCGCCACGCATGCTCGCTCTACGCTCGCACGCGCGCTGCCACGCATGACCGGCTACGACTACCCTGGCCTGGCCACCACTGGCTCTACGACGTGGAGCCGCTGCTGCTGCTCGCATGGCCGGGCAACGCTGCAGCCTGCCTCACCGCACTGCTGCACTGTAGATCCACCCTGTGCTACGACGCAGCTGCTGCCAGTGCCGTTGCCTCGCCGTCATGTCCGCACCTTCTTCTGCACCACTGCGCCGCTGTCGGCCCAGTTCGATGCCGCCACTACCGCGTGCACGTGGTTGAGCTTGTCGTCGCCTTGTCATTTATGGCACAGCGGCTGCGCAGGACATGCCAATCATGGACGCACATGCTTGTCCATTGCGTCTGCGTGCGCGTCGCACCTAGATCACGCCGACCATGTCCCACCAAGGCAAGACCAAGATGAGCCCACTTGTCGCCTCATCTCTCTCTCCCTCTGTTGCCCCCATCGAGCTGTGCTATCCAATTTGCCAACGAGTGATCACTTCCATTTAATTCAACACGTTTGTGGCTTCACCATCAAGTTCTCTCGCTGCCCGACCCCACCCAGCCATGAAGAAGGCACTACCAAGCTCCAATTTGACGCTTTTTCCCGTCGCCGTGCCGATAAGGCTGCGTTCGACCGTGGACGAGGGCAGCCCTCCTACCGTCCCTCCTAAGCCAATTCACCTGAACCATGAGCTTCGTCTTGTCTCCCTCTCCACCTTGCGCACACTAGTGGAACCGCTACCGCCTTCCCATCGCCACTAACGTGATCGCGCCACCACGGTGTGCCATCGCACGGCTCGGCCGCATGTGGCCACACCTCCTCCGCCATCCCGTCGCCACTAACGTGATCACGCCACCACGGTGTGCCATCGCACGGCTCGACCGCATGTGGCCACACCTCCTCCGCCATCCTCCCCCCAACCGTCACCTCGGCTAGGTCCACGGTAGTCTACTAATGCTTCCTCGCTAGCCAGTTAGGTTCTTAGGTACTCTGGTTCACCAGGGCAGCCGCGCCACCATCGCGGATGGTTGCACGTCGCTGCAGCTCACTCCAGCGCATGTCGCCGCCTCGCGTTGCTGCTTGGTGTAGGTGGTTGGACCGTAGTTGAAGGTTGGCCCGACCGACGGGCCAGCGTGAGCCTCTAGTGGCCGGCGTGGTCGTGCTAAGTCGTCGTCCACCGCGCTGCCATGCATTGAGCCGTCGAGGGTACGCGCGGGTGAATTAGGGAAAGGACGGGGGGTTAAGTGAGAAGGTCTGAGAGAGAGAAAAATAGTGTTAGCATTTAGTTGTGATTTAGAAGTGTGAGGCCTCTTTTGCAAAAGAGCCAACGCGCGTGGGACTCCCCCGCCACGGGTCGCCTCGCGAGCGGGCCAGCCTCGTGTGGGCCGCGCGGGAGATTCGCTTCTCATTTTCATAAGGAATTAGAAATAGTTTTCTATTTTAATTTCTGAGTTGATCTTTGGTAATTAATATAAAATCATGTATGTGTCCAAAAATTGTGAAACAAATTTTGTTAGGTTCCTAAAATTGTTCTCTATCTGTTGGTGTATTTAGTTCATGTTTATATGTGTTGACATTAGGAGCTATTAAATCATTTGAGAATGCTTAATAATATTAAGTTAATTATTGTAGAAATTTTTGTGGTAAATTAGTGATAGCTTTAGTCCTAAAATTTTTATAATAGCCTCATTGTATTATTATGTGATCACTGTAATTTTTGTAGCTTTAGAATAGACTAAGCATTACAATAGTTAAATGCTCTTTGTTTTAATATACATTAAATTATTAGTAGAAATAAAGATATATCTTTAAATTGCCAAGCTAAGGGTTTATTAGTTGAATCCAACACTTTCTCTGATGAAAATGATAGTTAGCTTAGTATCTTAGTTATTAGAGCTATCTTAATAGCTTAGTACGCGTATTCTTATTTTAAGAGTTGATGTTGCCTAAATGCTAAGTGTTGCATCATCATCGCATGCATGTAGAGAACGAGTTGACGGAGATCGTAACCACCAGCGATCATGAGTTCGAGGAGATCATTGAAGAGTATAAGGAGGAGATTCTCGTGCAGAACGAGGTCCCAGAGCCGCCACTGACTGACTCAACTGACACCGCACCTGCCCAAGGCAAGCCCCGTTGCATAACTTCTATTTTATAATTCACCGTATATATATGTGTTGTGTATTTACGTTATAGAAATTTTATGGAAACTACATGCATAGATATACCTGTCCTAAAAGTCTTACTAGTGCAGGTTCGAGTAGATGCTATGCTTAGGTCATTGGTAGCGTGAGTAACCTGTCGTTGCTCATAATAGGGGATTATTATTACTCTCATAATAAATGATGAAAGAAAAAATAGAGACAGGCCAGGGATATGGTATAGGTATTGGTGGGTGTAACAGGTTGTGTCCCGCGGCCAACGGGGCTTAGCTTGGTTACACTGTTTTTCCTGTTCGTGATGATTAAGGACCGTCCGTTGCTGTGGATGGTAGTCTGGTCACAGACTTATTATACTGAGCACGTACTTGCTTATGGGAGCGGGAAGGCTACGACACCCCATCTCGCGTTGAGTCGTGCCATGTCTGCTGCCGCACCAGGCTCCATCCCCCACCGCGCCCACTCCGCCTCGTCGTGCCGTGCCCGATCCACACCCGTAACGCGTCCTGTCGCGTCCCTCGCCGCGTCGAG